TTTTGGCCGACATCTTTATTTTTACTATAATATTCATTCAATCGTAAAAAAATTATTAGTAAATACTTATGGAACATAAAAAAAATCATATAAAAATACTTATTATAAAATAAAAATATGTTATTTTATAGTTTCAAATAATTTGAATTATAAAATATTTTTTTATAAAATAATTAACATATAAATATTATAATGTAATATTAATAAATTTTAATTTTTTATTATTTTTATTTTTACTTTTATAATAAAAATTAATTTAATATTTCTTTAATATCTTTCGAATTATATAACATTTGGTTACAGTTATACAAATGAGCATACAATTATACAAAGGAAAGAGGAAAAAAAAAAAAAAAAGCGAGAAGAGGGCTGTCGGACACATAAATAAAATTTACTATTTTGAGATCATATCCTGATTTAACCAACCGCCATTCCTCATAAATGTTTTCTGCCCCTTCAATATTCACTAACTTTAACCAGGGATGAGATCACATCATAATAACCCATAACCTGAATAATGGGAAAATTTGATTTGTAAGTAAGCAAACTATAAGGGTTTATTGTTTACTATATGAGATTACTATATGAATCATTTTCATTAAAATTTTTTGTGCAATCATGTATATAAAATTCAATACCCAAATTTTAATAAAAGAAACAAGACAAGCAAGTTGAATAGAACATATATATAAAATTTAGCAATTAAATAAAGTTCTGTGAGGTTGTGAACACCTACAATTGCCCTTGTCCGGGACGAAATGACTTAGACAATATATGCACTTACTCGGCTGCATCTTGGATCAATCAAGGAATAGAGACTAGTGAAGCTTGCTTAAGATGGTTTGAGGTCCATAATTGTCAAATAGGAATTATATGCTGCAAAACTAAACTTGATATTTAAAACCTCTATAGTTCCATTACAGACCATGTACAAAAAATAAAAAGAAAGCCATATTCATTTCGAGTGCTAAATAAAAACAAGCGTAGCAAAAAATATTCTCTAATATAATGAGAATAAAACATCATCTCCTAAAAATGCGAAGTGATTTAGAGACTAGTAAAATCAGATGCAAGCAGGAAACAGAAATTTATGTTAGTAAATCCTAATTCAAGTTTAATTATAAACATTCTGTAAAATCTGCAAACCCAACATTGCTCAAGATTATATGAAAATTTTCTCCCATTCTGCTGACTAAAATATCAAAAAAAAGTGTGTGACTTGCGATGTTGTTTAATGGCCACTAACAGGGAAGTTACATAGGAGACACGTAGAGAAGGAACGCGGAGTCCTGGTAATTGTCCTCATTTTCCATGCCATGGTAGGAAACTAATTTTCATTTCTCCAGAAAGAGACAGGAAAGCTGATGGAAATTGAGAACAGCGGCGTGCGACTGAACAGGACAATGATATAAACACATAATGGATAACACTCAAATCAACACTCAACTGATCAGTAGAAGTAAATTGATAAATTTATCCTCCTCATAATTCTACCAATCAACTGAGTATTGATTTGGATATTATTTATTGTATGTCTATATCATTGTCCGACTGAAAATTAACTATGTTTGGACCATTTAATTTAATTTTACTACAACGAAGAAAACACGTCAACTCAACGCGTGGGTTTGCCACCTCATTCGACCTCCTATTCGACTCCGCAAATTCGGTGAATATATCAAATAACTTAATTTTAATTATTTAAATAATATTAAAATTAATTAATTTTAGTACTTAATTAGTTTATTACTTCTCTATAAAATGATACTTGATTATTGTTATTATATTCTTTCAAGTGATTAATGCTTTTAATAGAGTGAAATACTCGAAACTGGCCGTTCGGGTTAAGTGGTTCTAACCACGCTTGTAAGGTTCATGTTCCCCTCCCACAGAGCAACAGTTCGAGCCGACCCACGACAAAATGTTCAAAAAAAAAAAATAGAGTGAAATACTCTTTACTAGAACATGAATAACGATGTGATTGTAGTGTAAGATAAATTAAATAATTTCAAGAGTTTATGTATAAAGTGGGTCGGGATTTAAGTAGTATAAAGATGGTAAAATCAACTTTATTGTGTTTCCTTCTCTCTCTTTTCTTCCTTTTATCTCTCTAAAAGAGAGTTTAATTTTATGACAATTTTGTAAATATCTTGATCTAAAAAGTAAGTTTGCTTTACTGTTTTATCAAATTTAATTTATTTGATTTAATACATAATTAATTTTAAGATTAAATTAAAAAAATTCATACAAATATATAAAATAAAAAACAACTACAACAAAAATAACCTTAAATAGAATAAAAACAAAAAAATTTCAATATAAATGGACAAAGATATTCAAATTTCCCTCCAAGAAAATTGAAAATTTGATAATTTACTTAAAGTAAACTTACTTTTT